AGCGACAGCGAGTTTCTCCTCAAGAGACTCCGAGACGGGTAACATTTGATGTTTCCGGCACGCTTATTAAAATTAGCAGAGAGACACTCGGGTACCTCGGGAATTGCGACTTCATAGAGCGCATGGAGGATGTTGGGACGGACGAGGCGATAGAGCTCAATTACCCTTTGAGCATCTTTGACGACTTCCATTGCGCCTTGATTGCTGCCAGACGCGATGTGGGCAAAGCCATGGCAATGGTCCTTACTTCGCTGGAGAGTCCACGGAGCATCGTGCTGCAGGACTTGTTGGACTACTTGGGGTACGACTGGCTCTTGGGGAAGAAGTTTGAAGCGCCCTTGATCTTGAGGGCCGAAGCAAAATGGGGAATGGGAATGGATCCTGGATTCTCCCAGAAGTCTGGTTGGGACATCGGCAGGGTTTGGACGCTGCTTGAAGGGGGTATACTTCAACATCTGCAGCGGAGCCAGCAGCTCATCCTACATGAGAGCCATGGATCTTTGGCTCCACCTGAACCAGGTGATGTTGCATTACTTGGCGAGGTGAGGTATTCAAATCGCAGAAAGACATACCTTTATCCCATACTCCTCCGAAAACAATCGGTGACTCGCTTCGATGCACGCCTTGGCAGCGAAGTCGAGTATTTTATTCCTCATCTGATTCCGCCATCCGGATGGTCCCGCCTGCTTGTGGATGTAGGGCCGAGACATGTTGTCAAGTTGAAGCGATTGGTTTTGGCAGTGTCGGTGACACAGTTTTGGGAGACGAACGACCGAAGCGAAACAGACGAGGTCGGCACCAGGTTGAATCAGGAAAAGATAGATCGGTTTTGGAAGCTTCCAGGACATTTTTCTGAGAACGAAGACAAAAAGCTGGAGACATACAAGGTATCGGGATCTATTTCCGTTGTCAATGGCCACGAGGTTGTGAACCCTGATGAAGTCCTGAGCATACCCTTTGAGGCCAAGGTTGCCCACAGGCAGCACACTGTCGTAGCAAAGAAGCGCGCCATACAAAAGGTTACACAGAGGGAAGTCGTGAATGATTTTTTCCGAGGACGAGTTTATGCAGATGTTGAGAACGAGCACACCATCGTCGTTCCACGCACTCGTGTGAAGGCTGCGAACACCTGCTCTCTCGTTCAAGTGGTTGTGCCTGAGAATCTGATGTCATCTTTCGTTGGGCGTATCTTCAGCATCACACTTAAGGCGGAATGTTTCAGCTTTTGCTGCTCTGTCTACACATGCGAGCTTTTTGGCGACCTCTATGAAGTGCCACAGAATGTTGACATTTCCAATGATCGCGCCTCTTACATGTTTGATAGTTTTTCCCTGGAGCGCACAGCTTTAAACAGGTTGAGAGAACATGAGGCGGAGAAGTTGAGAATCGCTGGTCTTGTGAGGTCTAGCGAGGAGTTGTCAGACGAGGAAGACGATGACACTGGAGACGAGGAGGAGGAGGAGGAAACGCAAGACGGCGAAGCGATCGAAGGAGAGCAGGCTGGAGACGCTGACACCTGAAGAACTGCCTGGCCCATCAAGCAAAGCGGTTCTTTCGGGAATTATGGCTCTGCGTCACCTGCCCTCCTGTTAATTTTTGTGCCTGTCTTCGCCTGCCCCAAGTGTTTGCCCGCAGTCACGGCGGGTCAACTGCACTCTTTATGGCGAGTGCAAACGGGCACACGGGCATCGCGCGTGCCTTGGTCAAATCGTTAAGGGATGTTAAGGGTAGGTGAATGTAGGTGAGGCAAGTCGTTTCAAGGCCTGGGTCGCGAGTCCCTGGTTTAGTAGGTTGCCCGAGGGGGCCAAATGCCATGCGGCCTCGGCATTCTGCTGCAGGTGCGTGCATCAGCAGATTTGGCGAACGATGCTGGCAACTGCCCCTTGCACTGGGCGTCGGCCTGAGTGCCCACCAGCGGCGGTATTGCAGAGCCGCAGAGTATCGCACCTTCAGACCTATCGTTATGGCTGGACTGCAGGCGGCACTAAATGCGCATCTGGAGTGTGAAGACGCTCGTAGCAGCTCGTGCCAACGCCAACTTGAAGAACGAGATTGAGAAAAGGTGCGGGTCAAGTGATTGACCGACAGTGAGAAGATGTTACCTGTGCAACACAGGCCATTAGATGAAGCCTTCAGCAGGACCCGCTTGTGATATCACACTCCGAGGAGCCTCATGCATATTGTCGAGGAGCCACGCCGAGATTTTTGTGAGATTGCTTTCTTGAGGACTCAACGCCACACGCAGCTACCTTTCTTAAGCTGGATGGGTTGAGAACACAGTCCCATATCTTGGTAGGCAATAATGAAGATTCAATTGAATGCATTGCATGTTTTGTTGTTTGCATGAGACATGCAAAGCAGTTACATGGAACACATTCCGCTTCGTTGGGTGCACTAAAGAGCACAGCTGTTTGCCGTAGTTTGTACATGTCCCGTCGAATCGGGCGTGTTTCAGTCGTTGCTTTTCTGGCACTGATACATCTCCGGCGCTGTTGGGTAAGCTGGCCGTCTGGTTCGCGCCGGAGTCCTGTGACATACCGACCTGAGCCGACAATGCGTTCTGGACTGAGTGCTGCGGGGAATGGCCATGACGTGGAATCACTGGGCAAGCAAACAAAGTGGAACGTGGGCGTGACCTGGCTGTGTGGCAGCAACATGACGAATTCCGAGTTCGACTGCATTACTTTAGTCCATAGTTTGACATGATCTGAGCACGCAGTCTGCTTGCAGGTGATAGGGGCCGGCGTTGCTGGTTTGGTCTGTGCACGTGAGCTCCGGCGCGCTGGGCTTGGCGTCGAGGCGAAAGCCAGCCAGGTTTTAGAGTGTAGACGCTTGTAGACAATCTGGCCTGCACCTTTCGCCATCCCTTCACAGTGCATGCATCGGTTGCAACAGGCAGGGGTGTTGTAGTGCGGTTCGTTAGCGCATTATTTCCGTTGTATGCAACCATGGCAGCTTCTTGAACATATACTTGTTCATACATTGTATCTTGAGGTTTTTGAAGCATCTGATGGAGTCGGTGGGCGAGTTCGCACCGATGTGGTGTCTCTGCCAGGTGCACTGCCGTTAAATGTAGCGTGTCAAAATTGTGTCGAGCCTTTTGGAGGACAGACAACGAGCTTCAGTCAATCGATGTGGTCATATCTCCCCTCATATTCACTGTACATCGAACGAATCAGAACGTGACACAGCTGTGTCGTTGATTGACAGTATTATTTGCCCTTCCTTCAGGTGCAACGAGTTCCACCATGGAATCGGCTAAGAGACCGTTTCTGCTTGACAGGGGCTTTCAGATCTTGATCGAGGCTTATCCCGAAGTACGACGGCAGCTGGACTTGAAGAGCCTGGGGTTGCGAGGCTTTGTGCCGGGTGCGGTGTTGGCATTCGGTGCTGGAGACCTGCGGATAGTCGCAGACCCCACAAGGAGCCCCAAGTACCTCTTCAAAACCTTGTCAGCGGGCATCGCCAGCTTCCGCGACTTGTTTTCCTTGGGCATTCTGCGGCTTAAGCAGGTGTTTCTCGAGGGGCCCTACGCAGCGCTGGAAAGGAGCTCCAAGACTGGGGCGAGAAGGATCAGTACCGAGGACTTCCTCACGGACTCCCTGTGTTTGTCGTCGAATTTGGTCGAGCGCTTCCTGCGCCCTTTCTTTGAGGCAATCTACGTGACTCCGCTGAGAGAGCAGTCGTCGGCTTGCTTCGAGTTTGTGCTTCGCATGCTCGCCGACGGTGGGACTTCGCTGCCCTCCAGGGGAATGCGAGCTATCCCCGAACAACTTGCCGAAGGATTGACGATACATCTGCAGTCACCGGTAGCTGAGATACGCCAGAACGGACTTCGCTTGCAGTCCGGAGAATGGAAGGACTTTGATGCAGTCGTTGTTGCTGTTGATTGGCCTTCAGCCGGAAAGCTTGCGCCGGAAATCTCACTTGCCCAAGGGACGCAGAGCAGCACTTGGTATTTTGCCCTTCCGTCCCCTCCTCCCGTCAAGGATCCGATCATCATCTTGAACAGCACTCTCCAGCGAGACAGTGGCTCGCAGGGCTCGCGCATCGTGAATGTTGGTTTTCCTTCAATTGTGCAGGATACCTATGCCCCAGATGGCTGGGATCTTGCTGCTGTGACCATCCGCGGAAGTTGTGACGTTGAGGAGCGCTGGGTCCGAGAGGAGCTCGCAGCACTCTTCGGCCTCTCCGGCTCGGAACTCGCCACGTGGCAGCTGCTGCGAGTCTACAACTTGGGCTTCCATCAGCCGCAGCAGACGCGAAGACTCTGGCCAGCTCGTGAGCCTTTCCTCGCCGAGAGCGGTGTGTATCTCTGTGGCGACCACTGCGCGGAGCCGACGCTGGACTCAGCCATGCGATCTGGCAGACGGGCTGCGGAAGCCATCCTACAGGTGCGGTGCGCAGAGCTAGAATACCTTCCCTTTCCTTCCGCTTAGGGTTCTGGCAGAAGGGGATAATTGAGTCGGCGTCAAGCAGGTCAATATCAGACATGTTCGCCTTCCCTTGTATGCCTTACAGTCCTTACACAGAGAGCATAGGGATCTGTGAGCAGTGCAGCCGGAAGGCCTCGGGCCAAGCCGACAATCGCTGCGCCTAGTTGGTGGACTCGAAGCTGCCCGGTCCGGACCAAAGGACTTTTGACGGTTCTTCTTCACATGTGACACCTCATTCAAATCTTAACCTCTTTATTTTGCGATTGATCTCGGATGGCCTCGGCATGATGAACAGTGCTCTCCGCCATCTGTGAATCAAGCCTCAGTTAGGCTTTATGTACAAAGTACAAGATAAGATACGGGGGAGAGACAGCTTGTCATGCCCGACGGCATCAAGCTGTCAGCGGTTCTCGGCATCTTTCAGAGCAATCTGGGGCATAGCAGCGGTGCGGTTTCCTGGCCCCCCCCCCCTAGAAACGGGGACCTCGAGCTTGCGCAACCTGGCTTTCAGCCCTCGCCTCGCCATGGCAGAGGGAAGCCGCCCGGCCATGTCTCGCTGTCCATATGTGGAAGCACCTTCCGGCAGAAGGCGGGGCCCCCAGCCCCCGCCCTGCCTCCGGAGTGCCGTGCCAGTGTACACGCCCTGCATATATATATGCTACTTGCCAGCGATTTCGAGGTCGTCGGCATGGTCGGGCGCCGGAACGTTCGGAGCCAGGGAACATGTGCCAGTGTACGCGCCCTATGGCACTTGCCAGCGATCCTGAGGTCGTCGGCATGTTGCGGCGCCGGAATTCTCGGAGCAGGAGAGCATCAGGAAACTGATCTATGGCAGACGACAGGAGCTCCGGAATCGAGCCTTGTGAGTTCGTAGCTGTCTCCAAAGCTTTCACAGTTACGACTAGCAGCGGCAGGAAGAGGTGTCAGAGCTTGATGCCAAAAGCCTACAGCCCCTTGTTCGCAATGGTCCGTATGCAGCCCGTTTGTTCCGGGATGGCCTCCTTGGGTTGGACGCCTAGGGCCGTCCGCTGGAATGCTCACAGAAGCGATGCAGCGGCTTGTCTTAATGGCGCAGTCGTGCCCAGACTGGAGCTAAGTTTCGTGATGAATGTTCTGGAGTCGTGAGGTCAGGTTGTCCAGACTGATTACTGCGGCTGGACGTCTTCAAGACTGGAGGAAAGCTCTACGTTTGCTGGAAGGCCAGAACATTGTCGGGCTGCGCAACAGTAGCTTCTCTCATCGTGTCAGGTTCGGCCGCCTTCTCCATTCGAAGGAATACCGTCCTCTTCACCTCGACGATGCAGCCCTGTGTCCGGATGCCGAGATTCGATGAGGAAGCAGAGATTTGCAGAAGCACCATATTCCAAGGCTGCGACGGTGTGAAAAAGCGATTAGGATTTTGGGGTTTAGTCCGAAACTCCACTCAGCAATGACTGCAATGTTGCTGAGGTATCAGCGCAGCAGTGGCCCGCTGCGGTTGCCACAGAGCTGTCGATGCAGCATGCCTCTGTGAAGTTCTGTCCTTAATGCAGGATCGAGATGAATATCTGTACCTGACGTGAAGTGGAGGTCCTGAATTTCCCTTTTCTTGCCTCAGGCCGGACTCTGTGGCCTCCAACACCCTCATCAATGTGTTCAGGTTGCACCAAAGTCAAAGTTTATCAGCATTGGGTTTGGTCATGGCATCTTGGACTCTCCTCGCCCAGGCTGGATCCCGATTTTCCAACTGGCCCTTTGCCCTCTGCCTCCTGGCGTCTCTCTGCCCAGGGCCCAGGTCATGAGTGGAGTGGATGTGCGAACCTTCCGTCTATGCATGCAGCCTGGGACTAGAAGTCAGAGCAGGCTCCTGTCGCCCGCCGTGTGTTGTGGGGATGGGTTGTTTGCGGTCGTCTTGGACATTCGTATGCCAATTTATCAATGTTCCTTCCGACTTAGATCTGCGACAGAAAGTTGCTGCCAATGCAGGATTCCTTAGCATACCACTGTCGTTCCTCGGCGTGTTGTTCCTGCCACGAGAACAGTGAAGCGCTATGCCTCATACCAGTCACGAGGCCACACACCTGTCGACGTTTTTTTCGACATTTTTCGAGTGAGTTTGAGGCGAGACAGATGGAGCTCTGGAAGACCGCCGACTTCTTGGTCTGGAGGTGGCTGCTGCTACCATGATAAATCGCATCACCCGTAGCAACAGTAGGAGCACAAACACGGCCGAGGCTGTGGCAGTGCAGGAGCAGTTGTTCACGACAGAGCCAATTGGAGCTCGTTTTTCATCTGCCAGGATTCAGTTGTTGAAGCCCTCCCTCACGGAATGTCAACCACGCATTCGCGGCAGCTCATGTCTGGCTCAAGCATTCCGTGGAGCAACAAGTTCCAATGGAAAGGCCGTCTGAAGCTGTGTTTTTCAACCATGTTCAAAAAGCTCCGTCGCTTGTGCTGTCGACATGTCAGACTCTCAGACCCTCAGACCTTTTCTGAGTCCGACGACAGGAATCATGCATTTCCTTTGAGCTTTGAAATGGGACAAGGCACAGACCCTCCCCCTAAACCCTAAAGCCCTGGGCCTTAAACTCAAAGAGGGGCTCAGGTCTGCTTGTTCTTAGTGGTGGCCATCGCCTTCCAAATGCACCCAGAAGCCCTCAGTGCCTGAAGGTCTGTAAAAGATTTGAAAAAACCCTACTACTTTCACCAACCCAGAAGTTAGTCCATGCAGATTTTGGAGGTCTCTGGGTGTCTTGCAGGTCCTCACATCATCATCCGTCAAAGCCCCGGAAGCCCTTGAACTGAGACGTTTCTTGGGCTCCGGATAGGCGACGGCGTTCATGGAGCACGAGCCAGAGGAGCGGAGGCCACTGGTTCACAGAGTGGCCCGGCCGGGACGAAAGCTGTAAGTCACCAAGGCTCCATTTGGAGGAAAGCTGGTAGCCCGGGCCTAGAGCCGAGGCAGATTCAAAGAAGTCTGCGAGCTACCGCAAGTGCTGGCAGAGGCGGGGAGAACTGCACCCAGTCTTAACAAGTGCCGCCTTCTCCGTATCATGGCAAGATCTCCGAGAGACATTATTGCATCAACGCATCCTAAACAATCGAATCGCAGAGGCCTGTTCATGTACTGCTGAATTCTGCGAGGCTGTTCTTACACGCAGCTCGGTGCGAACTTCGAGCCTGTTTTCGCCTGATGTGGGTGCTGATGCATCGGTTTTGCGAGTGTCCCAGATCGGAATACATCAGACATTTTGGATATGCGCAAGTTTCACCAGTCGAGACAGCACAATGCTCATCCTCCGCAAGGCCTCAGTCTCGCACAGCTAACGAAAGTTAGCCTAGTGGTATCACAGTGCTCATGTTTTTAGTCCGAGCAACTGTAGTCCGTGAAGCGCCCCCTCCCCACAGCAGACCGTGACTGAGGAGTATCATCCGCGCTTCGCCGAGAATTCTGAACTCGCAGCGCGCTCTGCACTGTTCTTGGTACTCTGCGGACGCTGAGCTGAAATCTTGAAGGAACTGCTGCAGTGCTCGCACACCCTCGCAGACCCTCGCACACCCTTGCAGACCCTCGCAGACCCTCGCAGACCCTCGCAGACCCTCGCAGGCTTCAGGGACGTGGGGGCCTTAATAATGACCAATACTATTGTGGGGGTTGCTGATTCCAAATTTGGTAAAATGGGGCCCGACACCCTATTCTAATGATTAATGCCGCTACATGGCTACATTACCATTTCTGATTATAAACCCTATATTCTACTTATCAAGGCCCCTATAGCCCGAGCCTGGGTTCTGAGGCCTTCCCTTCCTCATCCCCGAGGGTGAGATCCAGAGTCTCGATGCCTTCCTGCATACAGGACAGGGATGACAGGGATGACAGGGATGACAGGGATGACAGGGGGACGGGGGGACAGGGGGGCAGGGGGGCAGGGGGACAGGGAGCTTGGGAAGCACTGCAGCTGGGCTGGCTTGAGCTTTGAGCCTGCTGGTGCCTCCCGCAGCCTTCAAGGAGGATCCGACTTGAAGGGGAGCCATGTGGCTCAGAAGAACCTCTGCCAAGTTTGCCAAAAATCCTACAAGATAAAAAAATATTTCGGCTCCAAACCTTTGGCGACCATTTCCTCGTGTGCCTTTTTACTGTGGTTATTTGTGCACCAGAGGAGTGTTGGTTCGAAGGTTGACGAGAAATCGCCGAGCAGCACTATTGCAAGCCTGCACAAGCACCCGCAAGCCCGCTTGCATACGGCCACAACTGTTCGCAAGCGTTGGCGAGTGTCCCCCGGGTCCTGGAATGCCTATGCAGACTCCTGGAATGTGGCACGCTAAAAGTGCTAGAGGTCTTGATGAGCCAAAAAAGCGTTCGAATTGATGGCTCGTGTCAGGTCGTGATTTTTTGTGGTGCCTCAGATGGTGAAAGAGCATGATTGTAGTGTTACCTTGCGGCATCTTGCGGCTAGTTGCAGGCTTCTACGCCGTTGGTGTGGTGAGCTTCATAGCCGTGGGCTTACTCTGAAGCTGCAGCAAATTCGTGTGGCTCCGCTCTGCTATGACGAGGTTTTGCACCTGAAGCGAAACCTGGGTGCGACCATGGCGGCGACAGCAAGTGGCTTGCGAGGAGTTCTGCTCGCAGCGGCTCGGCAGCGTGTGCACCCTGTTCTGACAGCTGTCCCTTAAGTCAGCGGAGGTCTGCAATGCTTGGTTCTTGTTTGGCATCTGTCCTGACGGCTACACCGACGATGCAGCTTGTTCAAACACCACAGCTCGGAGAAGCTTTGGCATTAAGGTTGAGCTTATTGCGCATCTTGCTTCATCTAAGGTTCAGGTAGACAGATTCTTGCCACAGTCTGCATGCTAAAATCCAATGTCACGATGCCCTGAATCTGAAAAGGTTTGAAGAACGCACCCGCAGCCAAGGCATCAGTGTGGGTTTGGTGGTTCGGCCTGCTGGAGGGGCTGCTGTTTGTGTCCCTGCTGGCGGCTTGGCGGCAGTTTGCTCCTCATCATCTTATCGCTCTTGGCAGTGTAGCAAGATCCATGGTATGATGACTTGTTAGACGGTGTGCACCAGCATCGGCAACAAGTGCGCCCAACGAAGTGTGAAGACGATTGTCAGCCTGTTTTCGACCGACACTACGCCCAAACCCCAGTCTTGCACCGAGAAGCCTTTCATCATGTGTCTGCTGTCCCCAGGCATTCCTCAAGTTCGCCACTCTGCGCAATTGGATCGGGGCTCGTTGCTGTGCAGGTAACGCGATTGAGATAAGATGTTAAGCCGGGCAAAACCGCAAAGAAGGCTTTGAACAGGTGCAATTGGCGCTTAGGCTGGGCCGGCATCAGCAGCAGCACCTAACAGTACACAATCCGTTTGCAGCCCATGATCAAATTCACCATCACATACAGATATGCGATACCGTGAGGTTGTTTGGTACATGTTGACCTCTGTGCGGTGGTTGGCCTGTCAGTGGCGGAACTGACTTTGCAGTCTGCAACCTGTGAGACCTTCGGAAAGAGCTCTGCCCTAGGAGCGGCACGTGAAACTCCCCTAGCCTGCACCCCACATAGAACTGTTCCAAGAGATGTGCGCGTGGCTGGCCTTGTGCGGAACCAAGGATACAGCAGTGATTTTTAGCATCAAGCTCTTCGCGGGCTACTGGCGCCTCGACCCAGCCCAGGGCCAGCTCAAGAACATAATTACGAGTCACACCATATTGCTTGTTGCAGGTTAGCAAAGCAAGACCCCAGCTCAACACATCACACACCAACGTCGGCACAAAAACTGCGACCCCTGAGCAGCAATCAACCTTTCCAACTAGCATTTCGTATCGTTCACGCACTTCGCATACCAGCTAATGCACAGGAAGGACATGGGTGTTTGTGCACCGTTCATGTTTGCACTGCACGAGTGTTGTTTAGTTTCGTCGGCGTCAAAGAGCCAGTGGTGGCATACACGCTTGCTAGACTCATGAACCTTGCAATTTTCAAGCTTTCGTTTCCATGCATCCGAGAACAAGCCGAGGATGCAGTTTCTGAGGGGAGACCAGAAGGGATTCAGACAGCCCTTCACACCTGGATTCAGTGCCTCAGCTGCCAAGCATGTGTTAAGGGGATGGAGTGTCACATGCTCGACGGTGCCAGACTGTGCACAGTCTTGGGCTCACATCACCCTAAGAGCTTCGTGCAACCGAGGTCTGCGGAAGAACCGAGGCATTCAAGATTTGCAACTTTGCTGAAGTCATGCACAGCCCGACGAAGCGCGAATAACAATGGCAGTCTGCGTAGTGGCGGCATTTATGCCTGCAAAAGCAGTGGGCAAAGCAGACATGAGTCATACAAACAGGAGACATGTCCCAACACTTACAAATATCATGCACAAGATTACGTAGAAGGAGTATATATCGGAGCGACAAGCACAAGAACAAACACAGAAAAGCTATGTTTGACCATCGCAGCAAGATGAAGATGAACATGCAACGCGGAGCAAAAAGGAGAGTCCAGGTGATGAATGATCACAATACTGCTAATACTGCGGATGGCAATGGTAAACCGGTAAGGCTAAGGTGAATGTTGTTGTTGAATCGCAGGAGCATTTATGGTATTAGCGTTCCTGTAGAGTTGCGAAGAAAAGTAAGGAGAGTCATAAATGGTGGCAGACATAACATCGACAGCAGCACTGGGATGAACGACATGAACAGGCGTTGCGAACTCTCACCACTAAAGCAAAAGCTTTGCATCAACTGCTCAAGCATGCACGAGTACTATGCAGCCACGCCAGCATCACAGGGGCAAACTGCTGCCGTTCCGATCGAAGTCATCAGAGTAGCCACGAGATTTGAATATTATGACTGAGATTTGTTTCTAAGTTAAGTTGGAACAGTAGGAGCAGCATTAGTGTAAAAATGCTGACCATTCACAGTAACAAGGCCCATGCAGCTGCGATTTTGAGGTACCGGGTCGGGCAGTCTTGGACATTCAATATGACCGTCTGTGAAGACACCTTGCAGGGATGTTCCCATTGATCCAGGACATGCGTGGTCTTGGGATCCATTTTTGCCATCCTGGTCTACATTGTGCCTTACCCCCTCACGGCCTTGAACTCTGCAAAAGAGGTGCGCCAGGAATCGGTCGATCACGGCTGAGAGTTGTGTCTCATAGAGTCGTGCATTGGATG